AATAATAGAATAAATTCTCCTAAAAATATCTAATCACTTATTTTCAATAAATCGCGTCGAGTTCTCTGTAAAAATGCTATTGAGTAATATTTAGTTTAAAGTAGTAAACACTTCAGGAAATATCGTATTGTTAAGTAGCGTAATCAATAATATGAAGAAATTTTTCTCCTACAATTATCAATCTCTTGATAAACTTATTATTGCAGAAGAAATGCGGCATGTGTCGATCATTTTCTATTTCCGTACAAAATACTCTCTCGCGTACAAAATATTTATCTCCCCTGGCCTCTAATATTTACTTTCTCAGCATTCGCGAATCCCGCTTTTCTTATTACGACAAATAGTCGTAGCTTCTGTTCAAATAATATTTTCAAGTTTGTTGACGCGTGTACTCGACAACCTTGGCACTGTGCATAACAATATACGGCTTGAACACTTGTTATGAACAATAATAAATTTATATCCAAAGCCAGCGATAGAAGAGGCAAATGGACGTATTTATTCGTACGTATATTATAGAGATAAGACAAATTTATTCACGTTGGTGATTTTACTTCGATCTTAAGCTGTTCCTCGAAATATTTCCAGCAGTAAAACTTTATTTATTAGCATTTTAGTAAATATTATTTATGGGCACATTTGAGCATTTATTTATTAAAGACATAATTATTAGGCAAAGGATACAAATATTTAATGCTGAAGTCACCAAGAACACCATTAGTTAATGGTGTCTGATAACGACATTTCGTTTAATTACTCTTCTTAATCATTATCATTATACCTGTGATTCTGATCGATAATCACTCATAGGTATACTATTTTTCCAATACCTTTTTCGTAATGAATGTGACTCACGCGTACTTTTCAGCAGAAATGAGGAAAATCTTAATTGGCACAATAGATGACGAACGAAACCAGACGCGAATCGCTTTATTTGCAGCGTTTATTTCGTTAAGTGTTTGCTTTGTTCAGCGTGAGAAGATACGCATATTACCCCCTTTATTCCAGTATCAGACAAATAAACTGGACAACGGCCCCCATTCATGAATCGTGAAGTACAATCACCATTGTTAACTATGCATTTATCATCGCAGTATGCATTAGAAACAAAAAAGAAGACGTTCAACAGTTCAAATCTCCGCTTCAACGAGCGCATGGTTTTAGCAGGAAACAATATACATTATGATTTCATAATTCAAATTCAAATTTCCGTGCGAATCAGCAATAAATCAGTTCTGCGACACGTACGTAATCCCGTCGTGAAATGCATGCACTAAACATGAATGTACTCCCCTCGCCTTTTCTCCAAATAATTTTCTCCTCATACCTGACATTTTATTAAATAGAATGTTTCAGAAATATTCCAAGATATATTTTCGCAAGAGTTTTTCTCCTTCTCAATCGTGCGAGCTTTCAAAGAGTCGTAACTTCCTCGGTGTAATTCCACGTTGACAGATAATTACAATTCCTCTCGACAATCGCAAGATTTCTCTGCAAACAATCATGCACGCGTTATAGAGAATGATTTAATTATCGTAATTAATGATCGTAATTCGCCTATTTGCCATCCTCCGCGGAAGATTCCTCTTTTCCACGGCCACGTAAATCCGCGTGTATCGTCTTCGAATCAATCGATAAGGGAAGAAAACGGCGAATATCCTCGCACGTGATTAAAGTGTGCTCCTCTGTCGCGAGATAAAACTATGACAGGGGTCACGAGCGATCTGAGGATAACGCGAAATGAACTTTGCAATCCGCGGCCCTAAGTCAGCGTCTCTCAACCTTTCCTTCGCACGTGGACCCTTTCTGAATTTTTATTTACGCGAACAACACCTTGTACAATTACTTTTAATTAATAAAAATCGCAGTATACTCGCAGCACACTCGTAGAAATTTTTATTTCTTTAAAATTAATTACGTGCTGAGGAAATTATTTATTGAACTCTCGGAGTGAAAGTTAGTTTGATTTTTGCTTTCATATTTACATTCAAGAAGTAAATGTTTTTAAATTATAGAGCACGGAGCTCAAATATTTTCCCAGGCGCACCGGACCCAATTTTTACTTTCCTTTAATTGAATACTTTTCATTAATGATTTCGACGAACCTTTTAACGTGTGGATATAATGCTGTTACAAAGAAACGATGTTTACTGCTTTTCGTAATATCGAGAAGATTACGAGTTTCTAATCAGAAGCGAGGAACTCGACAAAGCCAGTTTTAACCGAGTAAGAAGCGGAAAATTGGATAGAAATGATTTAGTTTTCTCCTAGAGTTGCGGAAATTCGATTTTAATTTTATTACCAGTGCAAAGGCTTTCATTAGCGTTACTCACTCTAGCTCGAGCTGCGATCGTTTTGCAATTCAATCGAATGTTCTTACAATGTAAGCTGTAAACAAAGTTGGTAATAACTAGACCGCGGCTATTATGCATTTGCGATATAAAGTAACAACAACCATCGTCATTTGAATTTTACAGTCTACTGACACGATAATTTATCGTGAAATTTATTTAAAATTATTTCTGTTGTCCTTAGATAACGTGGACGAGTGAGTTCTAGAATATATATAAAACTTAGTAGATTTCTGAAACGTAATAAATTACTGTTTGTATTAGGTTGTCCAGAAAGTCCATGCCGATTTTTTATTAATGGTGTAGGTTAAAATATATCGAAATGGTTGAAAACGAATAACATATATCCATCCCTTAAAAGGTGGAAAGATTGTGAAACAAAATGGTACCTATGTAATTCAATAAATATATATAAAAATTCAAATATGCCTTTGCATTTTTCTTAAAACTTGGCACGAACTTTCTGGACAACCCAATATAAATAGACAATCTAATTTCATAGATATCCATGTTGCAACAGTAATGGAGCAAAATGAATCGTGCACAATTCAGTAATGTAACATAAAACATAAAATATTGTGCATGTATTAATAAAGCGAAAGAAACTTTTGGGACAATCTAATATTAGCATAAAATTTGACAATAAGCTTTTGTAGCCCACTTAGAAATTTTCGTACTAGCGACCCTTTAATATTAATAGGGTCATCGGTGGAAGAACGATCAAATTTATAGTGAAAATAATTTTTATGGTTTCTATAAGATGGCGACATTGATTAAAGGATAAAAGGTCCAACTATAGCGACCAACTAACGACTTTTGTACTTTTTAGAATAAATTATTTGTTCTCTTAACCATTGTGGCGAAACACAGTAGCCAATCGATAATTATTCCTGCATTAAATAATTATTCGTAAAAGTATTTGATATATTAACTCCCAGCACAAATTAATCCTGCGATAAAAAATTAATACATTTTCTATTCGTAACCCAGTCCTAGCCGATTGAGAACCCCTGCCCTAAGTCGTGGCGCGTGAACTCACTAACGTAACTCAATTGAGAAGAGTGGCATCGAATCGTCTAGAAATGTATGCACAGTAGCGGTTTAGAGGGTCCTCGTTCTAAAAGAGTAAGAGCCAAGAAGGTGCACGCTCTCGTTCAATTGCTATAAATAGAATAATGCTTCTAACGATCGGTCGCATTAACGTTTCAACGGTAAGTTTGTAGCGTCGAGTGATTTCCCTCAAGGATCATTCGAAGGCTGCTAGCTTCCGTAGGTTTCAGAAACGACCTAGTTCTTGAAATATGCACAGATGACTAACTTCTCACCTGTGTTTCTTGATCAAGATTCGAATCTTTCAAGGATGAGACTTCGACAGAAATAGTTTGCATAATAAAGAAACATTTCTGATCGTAGGTCGCGCGAATTTTTGCCTGATGGTAAAGCATATCGGTTTGAAATTACCGCGAAAAGCGCGCCTCGAGTTTTCTGCGCATTACTAAAGATGGCACTCCTTGTCGCGTAGTACAAAATCTCGTAGTACAAAAAGGTCTCGTATTTAAAAATTCTACAAAAATTTGAACTCGTAACAGTAGCAAATAGCGTTACTGTACCTTGTTGGAATATTCTGCAACGATATTATGCGAAAACATCGTTTAATTGACCAGTCTTTAAACCAATACACATCTACGTTAATGCACTTGATGCTTAAACAATCTTAAAGCAATGTTAAACATGCAATATGTAAGATGTTAAATATGTGAGACCTTTTTCAAGGAACAAGTCATCACATTCTATAAATAAACGTTCCCTTATCATTTTGCTATCCGAGGTTTCGTTATCGAGATACAAGCAGATGAAATTTGCAAGTGCGACTTCCGGTGCATCCAGAAAGGTCATCGCGCACTGAGCCCCTCAATGATCATGCAGCCGCTATCTGTGAGCGCTCATGTAGCCGCTATCTGTGTCGCTTTCGTGAGCTTATAATAAAGACATAAAAGTACCAACTGTAAGGGATGTTAGGTCGCAGGTGAGGAATTTGGAAAACAGGTTCTAAGGGAAAAGGAAATGGTTTATTTATTAACATATTGCTTTCCTGGGAGAGGAATAGGAATTACAGGTTTGTTCGAAAAAAAAAACAAAGCTTTTGGCTCAATTTTTTTTACAATAACAGAAATTTACAGAAAAGTATATCGTATCGAGGCGTCCGGATGACTCTACCGTCCATTCCCTGGAAGGCGACCGGCGATAAATCCTGCCGTTCTCTCCGTCCCAGGGCGGCCAGGAAGAGTCCCCGTACTCTCCCGTTAATCAGGCGACCGGCGGTAATTCCAGCCGTTCTCTCCTGAGCTGCTAAAGGCGTCCGAAAGCTAGGCTTCGTACTCTCCTTACTCATTAGGCGACCGTGGTAATTACCTCGTTCTCTCCTAAGAGTGCAGCAAAGAATGCCGCGTCCGCTACCGCGAGAGCGATTCTTATACCCGATCGTTGCTAACAGACCGCAGTCAATCAACAAGCCGCGTTACTATGCGGGCGCGTTCGCGAGCGTTCGCGAACGTTCCCCGCTCGCCCGACCCCGTGCGCCTACCGATGGTCGAGAAATTTCGATCGCGGTTTTTTTTTTCTGGTATTGTTACACAACTAAAAATAATGTCTGTATAAACAAAAATTTTATTATCAACGAAACGCATTAATTAACAATTTTCTTTTAAACACTCTATCAATTCTTTTATCAAACAGTTCCTGTCCTCCTGCACTTTCACCATATGTTCTAACGCGATTCTACTCTTTCTCATTTCCTCTAATTTTTCTTTCTCGATGTTCATATGCGATACATTTTTCTTCATAACAGTATACGTCCTCTTTCTATTTAAAGGTATCGATTTCTTGCTCATCGGTCTTTCGTGTTTTATGGATGTACCTGGAATCGATTCGACTTGTAATTGTGCCTTCGGCACGTCTTCCGATTGCATGTCCAATAACTGTGTACTCAATTTTTCATCTTCTCCGATGGCCATGTTTGAAAGTGTATCGTCGCTATCATTCAACTTATCGGCGTTGAATATTTTGTTGAATTTATCGTAGTACTCCCAGGTAACTAATGCACCTCCGCCTGTACTTCTTTGATTGTTATATATTTTGATGTACGTTTTCTTCAAATTCCTAAACTTTTTGTCCAGCTGTTCCTCGGAAATTATATAATCCTTCTCGGCAAACTTTTTTCTAATTTCGTTCCATAAACTTTTTTTTAAATTCAACGGACTTTGAAACCTTTCTTTCCTTTCCAAATATTCGTCTAAAAGCAGATGTATGGCACTCCTTGTCCATGTAAACGATTCTGAAGAGAACAAAACGATATTGGACAGCTTTTTTTATATCACAGAAAAATATTAAATTACTATTTATTTAAAGAAGATTATAATATAAATTATGGAATTTTAAATAAAGAATAATTTGGGATCGATTCTATAGATAAAATAAACATTGTTTCTACGCAAACATTTCTATGAACATAAGAAGAAGCGTAGAGGTATTTAAAGATGGCGGCACTAGTACATAATGTGGAGGCCTGCGAGCCAAGTACACTCTCGGCTCGTCTACTAATTTTCTACCCATGGTTAAAGTTTTTACGATCCACTTCCACTTCCTATTGTCTCTTAATTCTTTTATTTAACGTGTGTAGAACGTTCAAACGCTGCTAGCCGGCAAAGTGTTAATAACATTCTTGCAGATTTTAATTGATCTAATAACTGCCATTTTGTACAAAGCCATGAACTTACCATTTGGTACTTTTGGTTGCACTTCATCGCTTTCAACCATATTATAAAGTATTCCATTTATTATATAGCTCTTTTCTGCAAATGCCATTACCCTGTTGAAATAAATAATACTGATAAATAATATTTAACGCCATAACCTACAATACATAAAGTAATAACGACTTTCAATAAGTAAAATTAAAGTGATATGGTCAGTATATGGTTATAAGCATTTTAGTAACCTGTATATTCTTCTTTCTGTAGTCTTCTATTCGTTTGTTGATTTCAAATGATCGTTGTTTCTTACAGAGTGAGCTGCTCAGTAAGCAGGTGAGCGTAAAATTTTTACCAAATATGGCGATCGCTCCCTGAAAGCTGCTCAGTAAGCGTATGTATTCAGTAATACCAACTTGCCGCTCAGTGAACTGCTCAGGGAGCGGTGACATTTTCGACCATGTAGTACATGGACCGCTCAAGCTTACTCTTCATACACTGAGCGGAGCGTAATCAACATCTTCAAACCAAAAGTGAGACTTGACGATAATGCGCATGCGTCAAATTAAAAAATTATAGCAAATACTACAAGAAAAATTGTTGTAAAATTTTGCATTAAGCTGTAAAAGCTTAATCGTTTCCAGTGACGAAACACTTTCGTGTTTAAGCTCTGTGCACCGCTGTATTGGTGTGCAGAGAGGATTTATTTGTACATATGCTCAATAAAACATACTGTAAGATTGAAAACAATTCATAGGATGGTTTCTTTATAAACATTTCCTAAATATATCTCCCTTAAAAGTGTTTTTAGAGTAGTTGTCTCAGACTGTTCATATGTATTCGATTGTTTATTGACTTTCTACAAACAATTTAGGCATTTTATGTATTTATTATTTTAAATACAGTTAAATAATAAGTATAGACAATAAATTTGTCATAGTACATGCAGGCATAATTCTTTAATTAACATTTAAGTATAAAACTGCGATTCATGGACCCCAAAACGGTATCGCCATCTCGCGGCAGAAAGGTCGAACTAATTTTCAAATATATGTATATACATGACCCTTTAATATCTCATTTTCCTTATGACTAATTTGATAAAATATTAAATAATGAATGTAGAGAATAATAATATGGTAAGCGCATGCGTGATTACGCTAATAAATAATTTTTAAATGATTTAAATTATTATTATTTTTCTAGTCCTAGTGGCGCCATCGGTGGCAAACTGCCCAAGTTTGTCGAGAAATAGTTCCACTGTTTTATCCGCTAGATGGCGCCACTAAATTCTGAATACTGACATTACAGTATATTTGAATAAATTGCTGAATTAAATTAAATAATAACGATTTAACTATTATACTAGCATTACAGAGCTTTGAAGCATATTAAAATTAAACTAGGATAAGGTTTTTTAACTTTTAATTTTTGTCTTTAATCAATGACGCCATCTAGCCGTGAGACGAGGGAACTATTTCTCGACAAACTTGGGCGATTTGCCACCGATGGCGCCACCGCTACCTAGTTTTTTTTATATTTAATATTCACGAAAACAATTTTAATACAATAAATAATGACAGTTTAACTATACTAGAAGCACCGTATAAATTAAAATCATTATTAAATTGAGTGTAAGTAATGTTTTTAGCATTTAACTTTTTCACCAGATTTTTTAATTTGTAGCGCCATCTAGCGGATAAAACAGTGGAACTATTTCTCGACAAACTTGGGCAGTTTGCCACCGATGGCGCCACTAGGACTAGAAAAATAATATTAATTTAAATCATTTAAAAATTATTTATTAGCGTAATCACGCATGCGCTAACCATATTATTAATCTCTACATTCATTATTTAATATTTTATTAAATTAGTCATAAGGAAAATGAGATATTAAAGGGTCATGTATATACATATATTTGAAAATTAGTTTGACCTTTCTGCCGCGAGATGGCGATACCGTTTTGGGGTCCATGAATCGCAGTTTTATACTTAAATGTTAATTAAAGAATTATGCCTGCATGTACTATGACAAATTTATTGTCTATACTTATTATTTAACTGTATTTAAAATAATAAATACATAAAATGCCTAAATTGTTTGTAGAAAGTCAATAAACAATCGAATACATGTGAACAGTCTGGGACAACTACTCTAAAAACACTTTTAAGGGAGATATATTTAGGAAATGTTTATAAAGAAACCATCCTATGAATTGTTTTCAATCTTACAGTATGTTTTATTGAGCATATGTACAAATAAATCCTCTCTGCACACCAATACAGCGGTGCACTGAAAACGATTAAGCTTTTACAGCATCAACCTGCAGATCTGCTGAAAAGAAATTCATTGGTTTTTTCTAATATTTGTTATACTTTTTGTATTTGACGCATGCGCATTAGATTTTAGTTATGAAGGCCTAGTGGAGATCCAAGAATAGATCTTGTAGATCCTCATCCCTTTATGCGCATTGGACCAACTGCGCAAGTGTCAAATATGTTTAAGTTTACAGTAGCGATCTCTAGATAACGATAGCATTTTATCGATCTTTAAAAAATAACTGTCTATGGGCCTGAAGAATGCACAAAATGACAATTACAATAATAAACACCGAAGCAGGTTAAAAAATTGAAAGATTGTTAGGTTATTCCTCGGATCTGTGGCGCTGTCTGCTACAGAAACGTGACAAGTGACATTCGTTTCGGTTCCATAACATGGCGTTTACTTTGTGGTCAATGTTCGAGGCAACGTTGCTTGTCTTGAACGCCGTTTGCGTTTTAAACGAAGACAGGTTTCTCGCCAAAGGTGATTTTCTATTTGATTATTCTGTGTTCGTAATGTTTCTCGTCCGTTCATATCGAGTAAACAAACTCCATCCGAAGTGATAGGTTATGTTACGTCGAAACCGAAAGATTAATCTTTTATTTGTTTATTCTGTTGCAGTTGGTTGGGCATCTTGGCAAAATGTTCAAGGCTTTGGAGAACCTCCAACGATGAAATCACAAATGTTGAACCTGGTCAGGTCTATACGAACAGTCGCACGAGGTAATTATATTCTGCAATGTGACTGGATATTTTTTAAATATATTTCTTTATGGATTTTAACATATTTCTTGATATCTAATGATGGAACATACTTTTTTGTTACAGTGCCACTGATATTCCTGAATATATTAGTGATTATTATGAAACTGGTGCTTGGGTGATATACATTGTGAATAAAAGGACAATAATCCGTGTAAAGTCAAAACTCTCGGTATTGTACATAAACACAATTATTAAATTCCATTATTTTTATCTTTACAATGAAATCATTTTGTTTTATTTCATACAACACAGGAATTACTTTTAAAAGGAGCGTGTCTCCTTTAGCTTGATGATGAGAGCGTATGCAAAACGTATACAAAAGTATTTTATTTTAAATACATATGTCGGTGTAGTATATGTTTTTCATATTCATTATGCACATGTTATGCATATGTTAAGAATGCATACAATCGGCAGTCTACTAATCACTGTCTATAATGGCTTCCTAAATATTTATTAAACTCTTGCCATACCATTTCATTTGGGACTACCCAAAAAGAATTGAAACTAATATCCATTCTCATTTCGTAAATCATTTAATTAACGTTTGACTTTCGAACATAGAGAAATTTGTAACCATTTACATCACAAATTAGTCGGTAGTCGGTCAGTAATTTTCGTTCGGCATTATGAAAGACGCAGGTGATTCGAAACTCGTCTTGCTCTTTACGTGTTTACGAACGATCCAATGCCGCGCATGGGAAGTAAACGATTTTCCCGTAACTTTCTCCCCTTCCTAACTTTCTCAGGGTAGAAGCATCCTCGCGTAATCAATGAACGTACCGTAGTAGTACGTCCGTATTTTGCATAAAATTTTCAGAAGGTTCATTAAAAAAAGAAAAGAATTCACGGACATGCACTTTTCGTAGGTTTCCTCCCTTAAGTAAATAAATAAATAAATTTCAAGCAGTCCAAAACAAAAGATACACAAAATAAACTTCATCGAAAATATAAATATACTTGAACAGAACTGTACAAATATATTCCCCATAAAAATGCAAGAAAGGTATGAATAATTCAAACTTCGCGATGAAGATTTTAAAGTCCCACGATTGATTCGGATTCCATGTTCTGGTCATGCAGGCTATTTATCTCCGACACGTTCGCTAGCGGAAAATAAATGCGCATGATGCTGCCATCGATCTCAGCCAACGGAAACGTGAGGTAATATTATAACGGTCCGCTCATTCCCTGGACGATCTCCTTGATTCGAGGCAAATAGAACCTAGGATTGCGCAACCTTCTCGTCCGATTTATACAATTTCTGGAGACGTACGGACTCCTTAAAATTGCCACAGTTCTTTTATCATTCTCGTTCTCTGCGATCGAAACGACGATCCGCATTCCTTGCAATCTTTCACCAAACATTCGAGTTACATAAGCGAAAGCGAATTCTCGGCCTCCCTTCGTCCTCGTTTTTCGTTCGAACCAGTTAAAAAAGTGGCACAGCCCGGTTCGAGCGGAGGATTAATTATCCTGGAACGTAAAAGTCTTATAAAGTCGTGGGGTGACGATTATTCTTCGAGTTTAAATGTTTTAGAATTTCAATTTTATTTGGAAGTAATGATTAGAGGTAACGAGAACAATTTTCTTGTTATTAATAACCATTATCGATTCGGAGAATTTGTTGCAATTGTTTTGTTGAATTTGAGCAATTTGGCAATCCAACAGAATGGAAAAGAGACGTAGCAATTTCCTCGATGAAGGAAGCCTTTCGAGTGTCCATTACTGGAGCTTTTACCACGGAATAACCTGGCGATTTTTTGTGGACACAAACGTTACGTAAAGCTCCTAGCGCGGTGTATTCGTTGAATAACTCGGAGTGTGCATTCTACCAGAAGTCATTAGAGCAACGATTCTTGACCACCGCGCCGCGGGGCACGTCCTGAAGACTACTCTGTGCCACAGTATGTGTAGTCTTCAATCATAAATATAAAGAATTTTTTGTAGTTTTTAAAACTGTTATAGTAACGGGATCAATATTGGGTTATCAGATTGAATTTTCTCGCTTATAATTAGTCGCGGACATTAAGGGTGGAAGTCGCATTAGAAGCATTTGGAGTGTTGAGATATTTTTTTTAGGTCTTAACACATTGGTCGCTACGTCATCAATGGGTGACAGGATTTTTCATTAAGGAATTAAAAAAAAATTAATTTCAAACATGAGGAGACAGTAATGAATATAAATCTGGATAGAATTCATGAATTTGTCGACGTTACAAAATTTAATTCTATAATAGATGTTAAATTATCTAATTTTCACTAGTCTCGAGACAAAAAGTTAACTTACAGAAATTTTCATGAGTTTTAGCTTCTCTAATTCATCCGACGCATAAATCTTCTGAAATCTCGAAATCTTTTTAAACGTACTACGAAAAAGCGAAGAACCACTGGCTCAGCAGATACAATTAACGCGAGAGAGAAAGGGCATCCGCTGTTCCGAATTAGTTACTTAGCGGGTTCTTTTTGGTTTCGTTCCGTTTCCTCTTTCTTTTCGAAATGCGTGAAAGGATAGAGCTCAGCCACGTGTGATGGTCGTTGACTATCCCATGGTTACAGCTCGCGGAAGACGTCGATCTAATTGGTGGCGCGTAATTGTCGGCTGGTCCCATAATTATGGAAAGAGGAGCGCGCGGGCTGAGCAGTCTCGTTGAAAAACACATCCGTCCACGTTAACGAACTGCCTAGCGTAATGTTGGCCAATCTTCCGTCCAGGCGCGAGTCATGGAATGGGCGCGAGGGGTGCGTGACACCTGGGTGACGATTAGGGGACGAATGGCCGAGTCGTAGAATTTGAAAAAGAAATCATAATCCAATCGTAATTCCAATCGTAATTGAAATAACAGATTTTCTGTATTTGTATAAACCAACAATAATTAAGATAGTAGAATGTGCTATTCGAATTGCACAGAAGCCATCTCCACCACTGGGGTGTATACCCCTTGAGGGGTTCTAGAATTCAATTACCGAGTAGTAAAACAAATCATTGTTTTACTTGACACAAAAGTTTGGTGAGAAATAAAGATTCTATGATATATGTACAGTAAAGTTTCCTCAAATGCACAAATTTCTCCACGATTAATGCACAAGAACCATCCCCACTATTGGGGTGTATACCCCTTGAGGGGTTCTAGAATTCAATTACCGAGTAGTAAAACAAATCATTGTTTTACTTGAAACAAAAGTTTGGTAACAAATAAAGATTCTATGATATATGTACAGTAAAGTTTCCTTAAATGCACAAATTTTGTCCTCCTTTGATAGTATTTTCATAGCAACGCTCCTGGTTCCGTAATTTTGGCCAAAAAACTCGCGGAGGCGCGGAAACAGGATTAGCGAAAGTACAATGTACGAACCGGGGACCCATTGTGAACGAGCGCCTTTTTTCGAGCCGGCTGTACGCTCAACAAATCCTCTTCCCATAATTGGCCGAGCGAATAGCATTGTGCGTCACCGTGCCCGCGTTTTTCTCTCCTTTCACACGACGCGCCGTTGATGGTTGCTCCGATTGCGCGCACCTTGTACAAAATGTCGGTTATAATACTTTTTTTTTTACATATACAATCAGTCTCATCAATATTCCCCTCTATGTCTATTAAAGAAGCTTGTTTAAATTAAATGATAGGTTTGATGGTTTCAAATGAATGCAATATTAGGGAAAAGTAATCAAAATTTTGTAAACATTTATTTAGTAAAGAAATCTTAAATACTAATCAACAAAATAATTTCCATCATTTTTCCAATGTAAAGGCACTTTTTCTATTCCCTTTTTAAAAAGGTCCTTTGAGTTTTCTTTAAAAAACTTTTCCAAGTCGAAGACATTTTGATTACTCTTCGGTCCAACCAATATATAATACAAATTTATTTGGAAACATCAAACCTATCATTTCATTCAGACAAATTTATTTAATAAAGAGGATGCGAATATTTATGGGACCGACTGTATAAACCGTCCCCTGATTCTGAATCCCAAAACCACGGTGACCACTCAGGGCTTCGAAAGCCACCCCTTTTCAGAAGAGGGTTATTTTTTATCTGTAACGAGTCATCACCCTTCCGGAGGGTCATTGGAGGTGCCATGATCCTCTTGCTAATCCAGACCTGATCTCAAGTGAATCTCAACGGATTCTTAATCCTTTGCGATCCTATATCGAGTGAGGTTCGACAAAAATCTA